CCAAAGAGGCCACTGAAATTTCATCAGTAGTAGAGCAAGGAGGCCAACAAGCGTTAGCCAGACGCCGGCGGCTGAGCGCTGAGTGGACGTGCTGAATTGAAGAGTCGTTTGTCCCCACTCCTGTGTGAAGCAGGTGCCCAGGGACGACGGGGAGGGCGTCCCTAAGTGCCCTAGAGGGCACTTGGCTCATTTGGAGGCACGTTAGCTAAGACCCTCCTGTGCCCCCGGGCCCCTTCCTGCCCCCCTTCTTCCGCCAGCACCGAGCTTTTGTTAGCGGCTCCACGGAGGGCAGGGCAAGAAAAGGCAGGAGGCTGCTGCTACTTTTAAATATCCGTGCATCACATTTTGCTGCCTGCCTGTGAGCGTCGGAGTTTACATGCTAAGGCTGCTGGGTCACCAGATCGGGGGGGTCCTCTGAATGGATCTCATATGCTGAATTCTTTTTCTTCCTCCCTCCTTCCCATTTATTCTTTGTCTCGGCAAGTATGGCTAAGAGGGATTTACTAGATCTAGTGGGATGTACTCTATGAAAGACACGGCAAGGCCCACAGAAGAAATGCAGAATGAGATCTCCAGCATCCAGAAGTTGAATTTGGGGTGGGGACGGGGTGCAGGGAGATAAGGTGACCAGTTCTCGAGTGTTTACTGTAAACAGGACAGGGGTCAACGTCCCGCAAGGGAAATGCTTCCCGTGGTGGTTTATTACATGGTCTCCAGGTGCTAGGCTCTGCGCTCTGTTCTGGGGGCAGAAACAAACAAGACAACTCAGACCTTGTCCTGAGGGGGCCCTACTGCCTGGGACAGTGTTTTCAAGGCAAGGCTCCCCCGCCACTTGTAGTAGAATTACCCTTGTTTAAATAGGCTGATGCCTGGGCTCGGATCTACACAATCTGAATGTGTAAAGGTGGGCCCTCGACTCTTCAGTTAATTAGCTTAAAGAAGTTAAAGCTGGAGAATGACTAATGATGGGGAAGTGCAGCCAGTCTGGGGCCAATAGGTGAATACTGTGTTCCTGGATGTGGAAGGACCGTGACTGCAGAGGACCCGGGAGAGGAAGGGGAGATGGCTGCTCTTTGGGCTTTCTCCTCAGGGCTGCACTGTGTCCCCCTCAGCCTCTCTTCGTCACCACCACCAGTCTGACGCTGTGTCCACACATTCTTCATCCAGAGTAGTGACAGGTCCCCAAAGGAAGAGGGGGAGGCCCAAGAAGGGGCCTGTGGAGAACCGCTCACCCGTTCAGTCTCTGTCCACAAGGTGCCTTCCTGGAGAGGCCCCCCCTTAGCCATATCTTCCGAAGTGGCTCTCTGGCCGCTCTCCTTAAACCCTGCCTGACTTTTCTTCAAGCACCTGCCATCTTCTGGCCTTTGTGTGTCTACCACATCTAGTTCAGAGGTTGTGAGGGACACGGTCACGTCTGTGCACCGCGGCTGGCACGCAGTGAGCGCTCAGTAAACATGGCATGAAGGGTCCAGCAGGGCAGACGGATGCACCCTGGCCTTGTCTCTGTGCTGCTCAAATTCTGCTGCTCTCAGAAACGGCAAGCAGCTCAGGATTCCCGAGAGACCCTCCCTTTCTGGGCAGGTGGGAAGGCGGGAAGGAGCCCCTGGACACCCTGCCCGTGCTCTCCGGGCTCCCTCCAGCCCGAGGCCTTTGCAGATCACGCCTCTCCCCTCCCAGAGACGCTCTTCCTGACGCCTGAGTCCTGGGGAGCCTCAGAACCCACTACTTTTGATGTGAGTCTTCCCAGAACATGAAGAAACCATCTGAGGAACTGCACAGGGAACTTTGGGAAGGCGAGTGTGGTCTGATGGAGGAGGGCCCACACCAGCGTCGGGCAGGGCCGGGCAGGTCCCCAGCGCCCGCTGGAATCCTTTGAAGCCCTTGCCCTGGGAGGATAAGCGCGCAGTGGGCCGTCTTGCAGGGCCGTCCAGCTTTCCAGAGAGCATTTTCACAAAATGTTCTGCATTGCAGGTTAATGTACAAGACACGAGTTATAAGTGGAAACTTGGCAAAGTCCTTTGGAAATTGGCTAAAAGGCAGGAAACAAAGGGTGGCAGTAAAAAACCTAAAAGGATGTTAATTGGGGAGGGCCTCAGGGAACAGGGTTGAGACCAGCTTTTTATTATTTACATAAAAATTGCTTGGAGAATGGTATTGAAAGAGGTTTCATGCTGGCTAAGGAAGCTGCATTAGAGTTGTGTGTAGACACATGAATAGTGGAATTAGGGAAGGATTCAATTTATTGATGGAACTGAAGAGGAATATTTTCTAGTGTCTTCCAATTTATTAACCCACACCCATTCAGTTGGCCAGATTTCCATTTGAGCAGCGGGCAGGACAACTTCAGCTTAAAACAACTCAAATCTCCATATTTTGGGGGCCAGCAGAAAGTGCATGAAGAGATTTCGGCACCCTACACCCAGGGCCGGGCCTGAAATGAAACAGACGTTATCTTCAGCCCTAGAAATCACTCTTTTTAAAAGGAGCTGAAAGGCAGGTGGCATCTCCTGTTTGGCTACAAGCATAAGATTGGGCCACCTGACATCCACATCGCCCCACCTCCCTTTACAGGTTCTATCATATGGAGCTCAGATTATCACAGAAATTTATTGTCAATCTACCCCAGCAGGAAGCCAGCAGTCTCTCGTAAGCAGTCATTGCATACTGGACGTAACAACACAGCAAAACAGGACTTGAAATTGGGAGCCCAGAGGCGACATTTGCTGCCCTTGCTGCATCCCCCCGAGGGGATGGTCTGTACAGGCATCACGGAGGCCCACTGGGCCCTTGGTCTCCTTGGTACAAACTAGTCGGAATCCTCTCCGCCTTCGGTGTTCGAGGTGTGGTCCGTGGACCTGCAGCACCAGCGTCACACAGGAGCAAGTTAGACACGCAGGCTCTCAGGCCCTACCCCAGAGCTGAATTAGACTCTGCATTTTTGGGCGGTGGGTATAGCTCAGTGGTAGAGTGTGTGCTTAGCATGCATGAGGTCCTGAGTTCAATCCCCAGTACCTCCATTTAATTAATTAATAATAAATAAGCAAACACACACACAAACAAACCTAATTACTCACCACCCCCCCAAGAAAACCCCAACAAACAAAGAATCTACACTTTAGTAGGACGCAGCCTGATTCCCACACGGAGTAACGTCTCAGAAGCACTGCTCTGAGACACCCGGGAACCACAGAAGGCGACACAGAGGGGATCTGGTTCCTGCTATAGAGTAAAGATCGAACCACATGAGTTCAGTGGCCTGAGGACAGGACTCTGGCATTTGGGACTTCCCAGGCTGCTATAAACTTAAGATTCCCCCCTCCTGTTTTCTTTAATTGGCCTCATAAGGCACAGCGCCTTCTCTGGAATGTAAGCTTGCCCTGAAGTGAATGTGCCTTTTGAGAAGATGTTAAAAGCCAGTCTGGTCTACCCCTGAGAGCTCTACCCCCCCCGCCCCCCCCCCAGCGTGGTCCCTGTGCTGGGCC